GGCCAATTTACAAGCCCAAGCCTTAGTGGCAGCCCTGAGGCTGGCACCTACTCAACCAGCCAGAAACAACCTACCAACTGGAGCCTGCTTTAAATGCAGAGAGGTAGGCCACTGGGCCAGCCATTGTCCACACCCACGACAACCTTCCAGACCTCTTCCGGCTTGGGGTCAAATGGGACATTGGAAAAGTGACTGTCCCTTGGTGCCAAGACACGGAAGGCCAGTCCCTCCAATGCCTGACTGTTCTGGGTTGGCAGCTGAAGACTGAAGGAGCCCCGACTGACTCGTCAACCCTGATCACTCTCGCCGAACCCAGGGTAACACCTAAGGTAGCAGGTAAGTTGACGTCCTTCTTGGTTGATACAGGGGCTACCTATTCTGTCTTACCTTCCTTCCTGGGACAATTATACCCCTCCCCAGTCTCAGTGATGGGAGTTGATGGATATCCCTCCAAACCCCAGGTAACAGGTCCTGTCACATGCCTTATAGACAACAGAATTATTACACACTCATTTTTAGTGATACCTACCTGCCCTACCCCACTTTCAGGAAGAGACCTTCTTTTTAAGTTAGGGGTCACCCTACACTGGGCTCAGGACCCCTCAGCACTACTTCTACTACCATTAATCTCTACTCCACCCTCCATACCAAACCCTCTTTTACCTTCTGATTTAGTGGATCCCATTGTGTGGGACATTTCTACTCCTATTGCTACATTATTTAAATGAATAATAACATTCACCTGTTATTATTCATTTAAAAGACCCCTCACATTTTCCCTCGCGACCCCAATTTCCCATCTCCCTGACACATAGGCAAGGACTGAAAACTCTCTTATTGAATGCCGCTTATCTAAAGGTCTTTTAATTCCTACACATTCACCGTATAATACTCCCATCCTACCGGTAAGGAAATCTGACAGCTCATACTGCTGAGTGCAAGATTTGCGCCTTATTAAATGAAGCTGTAATACCTCTACACCCTGTTGTTCCTAACCCTTATACACTACTTTCTTGCATCCCACCGTCTACTACTTACTTCTGTATACTAGATCTTAAAGATGCCTTCTTTACCATTCCACTTGATCCAACTTGTTATCAGACAGAAATTACAATACCCATTACTCCCAAATCAGTATCTTCTAATTAGCTTCCCTATGCCTGTTTTACATATGACCAATCCTCTGAAGGTTGTAAATATTGTACATGTATATGTAGATGCTATTACTGGTCATGTAGGAGACATGATGCCTTTGAAGGTGCCGGGTCTGGATATTTCTTTTAAGAGCGAGGGACATGTGTCTGGAACATTTTTTAGTAAAGGCAGTAACCTGTATCTCCGCATTCGTGACCCTTGGGACACCAGGAGGGTATCAGGAGTCGAGGGCAAACTGTATGCTACAGCTTACAGCTCCCTACCCTCAGGAACCCTTCATATAGCACAGGAATACGTTGCAACCCTCCACACTTCCATATGTATCTCCACCAGCATATCCCAAGTGGAACAGACTTTACAGGAACAAATCCTAGGAGCTCCCAAAACAGTTGCTGTATCTTCCTGGATACAAATCATTCAACACACTCTATCCTTCCTCAATTACTCCCATGCCTCACCCAATATTTTGTACTGTTTCCTTTGTGCTTCACTTCAACGACCCTTACTTGCAGCTGTACTAATTAATTCCACCCAACCAGCACCTACATCCACACCTAACCCATACTGCATTACTCCTTCATTACAGGTACCTTTGGGAACCTGACACTGTCAATCATACATGGCCCTCCCAGATTTGTTTCCTTACCAACAATATCATACCTGTATTTTCAGAACAAACTCCCTGCTCGCAAAATATATCTATCACCTCCCAAACCACCTCAGCACCTGGAACATACTTTTGGTGCAACGGGACCCTAATTAAATGTATAAATAACACCACCCCAAGCCCTTGTTTTCCAGTAACAATAGTTCTCCAACTTACAGTATACAGAAAATCTGAACTCTCCTGGCTATTACCAAAACCAAGAACCAAATGAGCCACCTTTTTGCCTGTTACAGTAGGCCTCAGCAAGGCCTCTGCTTTCATTGTAACCGGACCAGCAGGAGGGGCATTGGGTCACAGCATAATGTCAGCTCAAGATTTCCAAACCAATTAGAAATAACTCTAGAAACCACTGCAGATTCTTTAGCTTTTCTCCAATGACAGCTAACCTCTCTGGCCCAAGTTACTTTACAGAATCGAAGAGCCTTGGACCTATTAACAGTGGAAAAAGGTGGATCCTGCCTTTTTCTTAAAGAAGAATGCTGCTATTACATCAATGAATCCGGTCTAGAGGATCAAAACATCAATACACTGACTCGACTGAATGAAGCATTATGTAATAGACACTGAACAGGAACCTCACCATTTGAATGGCTCTGATCGCCACTAACAGCCTGGTTACTACTACCCCTTATAGGATCTCTTGTACTAATAAGTCTCTTTTTTTCTTTTCACCCCTTGCCTCCTTAGATTCCTCCAAAACCGGCTCAAAGAAATGTCCAGAGTAACTGTCAACCAGTTACTCCTACACCCCTACACTCGTCTACCGACTGACCCAATCCCCACTGACTCTGGCCTATAACCCTACTCTGACCCTGTCCAGCAGGAAGTAAGCAGAACGATAACATCGCCCTTTTATCATCAAAAAGGCCGGAATGTCACGCGGGAACACGGCGCCAGTCAGGCGGGTAAAAGATTGAACAGGAAGAAGCTACAAGCAGGCCAACCCCATGCAGCTTCCACCTGATTAGTTCCCGCTTTATTTTGAACCAGCATAGGTCCTCCCCCCTCCCTTAACGACTATACTAATGAGGTGCTTTCACCTGATTGGTTCCCGCCTTTTTCCCTCTGCCCCCACTCAGGTCCCCTATGCAACTATATAAACCTCTCCCTCCCGAGCAGCGCGACTTCTTGGGCCTCTCTCAGAGACCCATGAACGTTGCCTGAGCCCCTCTCCAGACATAAACCTCGCCCAGGAGCACAGAATAAAAACTTCTCTTTAACCCCACTTTTGTGCGTCCTATTCTCCTTGCCTTGACCTTACATGATCCACACAATCAAATGCCTTTGCATAGTCAATAAAACACAAGTAAACATTTTTCTGGTATTCTTTGATTTCAGCCAAGATCCATCTGACATCAGCAATGATATCCCTTATTTCAAGTACTCTTCTGAATCCAGCTTACACTCTGGAAGTTTCCTGTCAATGTACTACAGCGACCGTTTTTGAATTATCTTGAGCAAGATTTTATTTGCACGTGATATTAATGATATTGTTTGATAATTTCCACATTCTGTGGGATCACCTTTCTTTGCAGTGGGTACAAATATAGATCTCATCTAGTCAGTTGGCCAGGCAGCTGTCTTACAAATTTCTTGGTATAGACAAGTAAGTGCCTCTAGCACAGCATCCGTTTGTTGAAATATCTCAATGGGTAGGTGTTATAGCCCTTTTAAAACTATTCCTATTCTATTAGTCCGGCAAACTATACCAGCCATTACTAGCCTCGAAACTATTATAATTCAACTTAACCAGGGACCCAAAGGTAATCAGATACATCTATTCCTCAGGAGTTATCAGAATTATTTTGTCCAATCTGGGTGGCCAGGTGAACATTCCAATGATGAACATGATTTTGCAACAGGGGCGGGGGGGGGGGGACTGTCAGTCAGTGAGAGCCACTTACTAAGTTCCCCAAATAGAAACCCAAACAAGGTATGAGGGATCATGAGCAAGAGTGACTAGGTTGTGTTACTTCCTAACAGTTACACTGAGTTCTACCATCTTGTCATCTCTCACAGCTATAAATCCCTCTGAGGTTATCACTGAATACATTTTGATGTCAATAAATACCTCTTTAAAGAGTAGTTGATTAGCTCTAAGAAAGCCAGGAGATAAGATTTACTTGAAGCAGTGTTCAGATAGGTAATAGCGGATTTATATACGTGAGTTACAAAATGCTGTGGTAGAATTTAATTCACTCTTTGGAAATTTATGGTTTTTAAGGTCCACCTTATTGAGAAAAGGAGCTCTGGTGGCGTAGTGCCTAAGGCACTTGACTGCTAACCAGAAGGCTGGCGGTTCAAACCCACCAGCCACTCTTGGAAGGAAGGTTGGGCAATCTACTTCTATAGGAACACTGCCTTGGAAACCCAAGGAGGGGTTGGATGAGTCGGATCCAACTGCACAGCATTGGGTTATTGAGAATAAACACCATATCTTCACATTCATATTATAAATTTTTATTATTCCAAGAAATACATGCATGTATTTATAAATATAAATATAATTAGACATGCCACACTCTAACTCAGATACAGATGATCAATTTTAAATCTGATTAAGTTTGCAAACTTATATTATTTCAGGTAACTGCTTTATACTTTTGTTAAAGCAGCCAGAAACATGTAAGGCCAGAGGCTTAACCCAGGAGAGAAGTGGACAAGCATAACTTTGGTCTAAGCAGTGTCCAAGCATTAATGAATTTTCCTGGGTTAATCTAGATGCTCCTGAATATGGTTCAGTATTCTGAAGTTTTCTTTTTATCACATAAGAAATCTCCAACTTCACTTACACAAGTATGATGTCTTCAGGAGAAAGGCTACATCTCTCTTCAGAAAATTCTTCATTTCTCAAACACTAGATTTTAACAGCAGCTTAATGGTCAAAACACACAATTTCCAAACTACACCTCCATCTATACAATTCAGAATTGAACTGAGTTTATGAGCCGTGTTATTGTTTAAATCATGTAAATAAAACCTACATTGTTGAAGTGAAGCTTTTTCTGAACAAATGCAGAACAGGCAGGGCTGAAGAGATTCTATTAATAATGCGATATTGAGTTTGATATTGACTTTAAGAAGTATTATCACCTCCTTGACTAACCCTTAGCTGCCAGCAGACGCTGCCTCAGGCCAGTACACACCTAATTGCTCGGTAAAAAGGCCGTTTCCCTACCTCATTGAGCTGCATGATGTGATAAATTTGCCTCAGGTACTCGCTGCCACCTGGTTTGTGGCAGATATCCAGGACCATAGTGTTTATTTTCTGCTCAGTCAGTTCAAGAGCAATATCTCCTTCTTCTAAAGCAGTGCTTTTCTCCATTGCCATAAATGCACTAATACAAAGAAAGCATATGAATATCAGCAGTGAAGAATTGTAAAGATGGAAAATAATCAAAAAGATTGACTGTGGAGAGCCAATGTAAATCTCATATCCAAAGCACCCATAAAGATCTCGCTCAAATAGGTTAAGTCTTCCCAAACTGCTGCTGCTCACATAAACAGTGCCTTAGAATTAAACACCTGAAAGCATTTTTTAAAATGGAATAGTTTCTTTTAAAACATTTCTTTATTGCATTTATGTTCCTATCTATAAAACATTTTCCCATTACTGCAATTGTTGAAATCGCTATAGTCACGGGATGAAAACAAAACATGTCTTTTTAAGAACAAGTAAGAAATAATTTGTATTTTCTCTTTGAGGATAAAAAGTTATCTTTGATGCTAGAAATAGCTTTGGTATCGATCTTTTGTAGATGACTCTTTACACCTGGCTGTAGAACACATTAAAGACTAATTAAAGTGTCAAAAGAGGGAGCCCGTTATGCTAAATATAGGCAGGGTGCTTCCTGGCAATGAGCTTACCATTGGGTATTTTAAATTGGCCTTTTGACACCTGTTGCTTTTTAAAAATGTATGTCCTCTCTCCTGTTTCTTCTCTGTAACAGATACTTAGCGAAAGTTACTACCCTAATTATTCTTCCAGAAAAAGGGTCTACTATCACTACACCAAGAATGTACAAGTTATATTTCCCAAACACTTCTCTTTTGAGTACCCATACGCTTATTACGGGAGCTCTGGTAGCATAGTGGCTAAGGCACTTGACTGCTAACCAGAAGCCTGGCAGTTCAAACCTACCAGTCACTCCTCAGAAGGAAAATGGGGCAATCTACTTCCGTAGTGATACTGCCTCGGAAACTCAAGGAGGGGTCACTATGAGTCCAGCCGACTCGATGGCACATAACAACAACACACTTATTACTAAATTTAAACATTACTTACATGGTAATAATGGATGACTTTTTTTTTAAAAAAAAATCTTAAACTATACCAGACTGAAAAAGAAAGAAACAAAACAGAGTATGCAACTTCGATCATATACATTCTGCACTAATTTTCTTATTACAATTGCTATTGGGATCATGTTAGGCTCTGCAATTTAAGAATTCTTAAGAAAACTCATGGTTTTCCAGTGTTTCCCAGACTAAATGAAATTTACTGTGGTGTAATCAGCTGTATACTGCAGTTCATTACTGAAATTTTGCCATGATTATAAAATTAGTTCTGCTAAGAGCCAGTGCCGCTGACCTGAAGACTGAACGAAATGATACCCAGCTGCTGGATGTTAACGTTGATATTGCTTCCACATGTAGCTTCAAACATCCTTCTCCAATAAAAAAAAAAAAAAAAAGGAACTTTAAGATTACATAAACCTTGCTAAAATTTAAAGCCAATCCTACTTTGTCTTAGAGGTATTCATTAGTCAGAGTAAATCTTCAAAGACTTTGTTATAACAAAAAAAGTTTGCAAAAAAATTATCGTTTTGAAACTGCACACAGATTGCAAGCAAAATTCCTTGTCAGATTGTATAGAGGCTGACATTGAAAAAGTTGAGGCCTTCTGACAAAAGAGTGTCTCAGTGTCGGTCCCTGAATTGTATCCTTTCCTGTCCATCACTGTGCAGGTGAAGCAAATGATTGGATTCAGTCAATGCTGTGATTAATGAGTTCCTCTCTGGATTTGGGACTGCCTATCAATCATGTCATTAGGGAGAATGTGCCCTGAAAGAGGCAGACCTTAGCCAAGGAATAACTGCATTAATCTTAATCTGTATATGCACCCAGCCAGCCAAGTCAGGGTCACCATGATGAAAAACAATAATCTTCAACTCGACAAATTACTTTGCAAAGACAGACATTTCTTTACTTTTTGGGCTGTGTGTTCTCCAGAATATAAGTTGACTGTTTACAGCTTGAGTATTACTACAAAGTGAAGGTTATTTTAATGAATAGTAATGCTTTCAGGCAGTATGCAAGACAGGCAAGGCTTGCAGCTGCCACCTTTCCCACTACAGTTCTTTTTACCATTTCCACAAAATCAAAGTTAAATACTGATGCAAGTGAAAGAAATCTAGCTAAATTATGTCATGGAGTTCTAAGATAATCTTGATGGCAATTAAGATTTAATTCACGTTAATAGAAGAGCTAGTTTAGTTTAAATACTTATATTCCCACACTTTAAAAAAGAGAAAAAGATTATGGTAAAGCCAAAGCAACTCTCCTACGTAGACATCGTGGTTTAAAATACATTTTCCTTTGTAGTATGGATCTATAAATTAAATCATCATTGACTTGTGAGAAAATATTAGAGGTAGAAGTTGGCTTGACATCAGATAATCAATTTGAGATCAAAGTCAAGAGGAAACATTCCTATAATGTCAGAAACTTGTTTGAGATTCTAATATGAGTGACTAAATCAATTTTAACTTTTTTCAAATGATGCAATAACTAACTTTAAATCTGTATTTTTGTAGACTGATATCATTTGAAAAACTGAGAAAGGCACAGCATTGTGCTAATTAAAAAATTATTCAGAATTCTTGAGGGCTGTAAAACATTTTAAAAAATTAGTAATTCTTGATTTGTGGTGCATGTTGCAAGACACAGCTAAATAATCATTTTCCTTATTGCTAATAAGCCAGATATTAGCTAATAATGCCCTACTGTAGGGTAACAGATATGTTGGTACTGTTCATAAAATTTAAAACAAAATAAATTTTCAAAGAAAAATATTACTTAGGGATGGCTGTATGCAGCCCTAGGTATCTTACTTAGACATTGCTTTAAATTGATCTTATTTGAAAGAGGGGCTCCTAAATCAGCAGTATCATAAATCTAATTTTGTACCTATAATCAGATCTACTATTTTTACTCTTGTTTTTTCTTTCCTTTTTACAACCACTGCTATGGATAATGACATCTGGCCTTAATCTTTCAGTCATTGGATTAAAGCCTGTAAATTGGTACTGAATGCAAATGTAAAGATTAAAAAGGTCACTATCAATGTTACTAAACATTTGCCTGACTGTTATTGTTATTCCTATTCATGGGGTACCCAGAAGTAAATTTCTAAAAGTCATTATGTCATGACCAGGAACATCCTGATTACTTATTCTTTCAACTCATAGTCACGCCTCCTTTCGAGGTGGTATCTCTATGGAAGTAGATTGCCCAATCTTCCTTCCAAGATTCAGATTAATAGGAAGTCTCATAGATGAATTTTTGTAAGCAAAGATTATGAGTTATTATAAAACCAGCCAATGAATGCAATGTGTTTTAATAGAGTTTATAAATAACAAAAGGAGCTCTGGTGGCACAGTGGTTAAGGGCTCAGCTGCTAACTGAAAGGTCAACAGTTTGAATGCACCAGCATCTCTGTGAGAGGAGTAAACCTTGCAAGCTACTCCTGTAAAGATTACAGTTTAGGAGACCCTATAAGGGTGATTCTCCTCTGTTTTATAGGGTCACTGTAAGTCAGAATTGTCTTCACACAACAACAATAACACTAAATAACAAATGCTTATTAGTGCTGAGCTTGATGATAAGCCTTTTATGGATGTTAACTCCTTTAATATTTTGAAACTGTTAGCCTGGTATTATCAGTGAAACTGAGGCTTTGAGAGCATCCATAACTTGTATAAGATGATGCACCTACAGGGAATTTGCACTTGCCCATCTGATTCCAAAGCCTGAGCTCTTTATCACTACCATGTACTAGTAAAAGTAACCATATTTCAAGTGGTTTCAAGCAGAAAGCTGTAGTAACATTTGACCATATTCATGACCATATTTTAAAAGAATGGGGACATTGTGTGGGGTTGCTGTAAAAAAGGACTAACTTTGTAATCCAGAATTCCTTTATCAATATCATGCAATTCTATATCCGAAGAGTAATTTTAAGACAGGAGAATATTTAAATATATCAGGGACGCTTAAAACTCTTTGCAATATCACAAATCACTTAGCTCTTGATGACAAACCTATGAGAAGGCTGACATTTTCATACAGAAACAGCTGGGTGTGTTTATAGCTTGAGTGTGATATGCCCCAGTTGCCCTCTGGGATTCTTACATTACTAGATGAAAAATGTGTACCTTTCTGACAATCAGGTACACAGAAAGCAATAAAAAGCTTTTTATATCCATTAATTCCTTCTTAATTTAATCTCCATGCCCAATCCATTTATAAAATGCTGCAAGCTATCCACTGGATACCTGTTTGCACACTGAAAAGGACTGAAACAAAATTCTCCTGGGCTTAACCACCACCCTTTTAATCAGAAACCTTAAGATGATGACTAAACAAGTATAATGTTCCAGTGTATCAGTTGGGCTCAAATTTAACTAAGACAAGAAACTTCTAAAAGCCCAGTATTTAATGGAATACTTATCCTTTTCTATAGTTAACAAAGTTCCCATGAAATTACCTAAATGACCACTGCTGCCCATCTGACAACCTTTTGTTATTGTTGTTGTTTATTGGTGATATTCTTATTGTGAATGCACTTAATGAAATCCTGTGAAAGAAAAACATCACCTTACCATTCAGTGCTCAATTTTCTTGCTTTCAACAATTGGCGTTCAATCCAATTGGGTCTTTGTTGTTCAATGCTCTGTATAACCTTTTGGGTCATTTGATTAGGGCTACTTGTCTGCTCCCTCATGATGCTTTCCAAACACACCGAGATTAAACCAAGTTTCTCTTTACTCCATCTGTCAAGGGAGGCACCTGTTAAAAGTTCCACAGTGTTTCCATCCTCAAATATCCGACATATAATTACAATCAAGTTCCAGACAAGCAGGCCAGCTTTCTTCAATTCAACAAAGTTTTTTGACATTTTTCTCTCAGTCAGAAAAAAGAAGTATTTAATTGGGGGAGGCAAACATGCAATCACCGTAGGTAACTTGCTGATTACAATAGATACTGTCTGAGCAGCAAGCCTCGTGAAGCCTGGGGAAGAAAAGAAAGAAAAGGTATGATTAATATTAGCATTTGCGTTCTCTCACTGGGTTGTTATGAGTGTTCTGTGGTGATGTCTAATTTTTTGTGGAGAAAATTGTCAAGAAGAGCAAGTGCTTGACATCTTCCAACAGAACTATACTAGGGTCCCCTGCAGTACTGCCTAACGCTTCACAAATCCCAAGTCTAAGCAATGCCAAACCCATTTTTCTTTTCCTCCCACAAGAGAAGATTAGAAAATTCAGAATTATTATTAATATTTTTATCTAGTAAAGCTGCAGCTTTGAAGGGTCCAAATGTTCTCCTAGTTGACAAATGCTGGAGGACCTCTTCACAGCCTTTGATACCCCCTCAAGCCTCTCTCCTTTTCCATGGGAATCCATGAGAAAGAATCATTAACATTCTTCTCAGGGACTGGTTCCTTCTTTTCCTTAGTCCAACTGGAACTCTGGTAGCAAAATGCCTAAGGCACTTGACTACTCCTTCCACTCCTTGGAAGGAGGGTTGGGCAATCTACTTCTGTAGTGTATCCACCTCAGAAACCCAAGGAGGGGTCACTATGAGTCGGGTCTGACTTGATGGCACCTAACAACAACTGTCACCTTTTCAGACCGCTTTCCTGATCATCTCATTTAAAGCAGTCCTTTCACAACCTTACTATGACAGGCCCCAGCCCTTCTCTATTTCAAAAAAAAAAAAAAAAAAACCCACCTCACTGCCGTCTAGTCGATTTGGATTCACAGCACCCCTCCTTGGGTTTCCAAGGCAGTATCACTACGGAAGTAGATTGCCCAGTCTTCCTTCCGAGGAGTGGCTGGAGGGTTTGAACTGCCAGCCTTCTGCTTAGCAGTCAAATGGGATCCTATATTGTTGCCTTTAGTATAGTACTTAACAGGGTCTAATAATTATATCCTTTATTTTTTCATTATCTGCCACCCTCCACTACAATTTAAACTCCATAAAGGCACTACTATATCTCCAGCACTCATTACCTGTCATATAATAATGGCTCAGATAAATATTTATTGAATAAATTAGTCAATAAACGGACTCATGTTTACCTCTCTTCCTTTGCTTTGTCTCTTTGTGATCAGTGCTAGATCCACCTTTTTAACAACATTTTTTGTTCTCCATATTGTTGTCGGGTGCTGCTGACTTGGTTCCAATTTATAGTCACCTGATATAATAATGAAACACCTCCTGGTTCTATGTCATCTTCACAATTGTTCTCCTTACTTGCTATTATTTCTATGAAGGATTTACATGAGGATTTTTTAACCTCAACACTCTTGACATTTTGGGTTACGTAACTGTTTGTTGGAAGCGGGGAGCTGTTCTCTGCATTGTAGGACACTTTAGTGACATCTCTGGCCTCTACCCACTAGATCTAAATAGCTTCCCCCCAGTTGTGGCAACCAAAAATGTCTCTAAACCCCAAACTCACTGTCATTTTGTCAATTCCAATTCATAATGACCTTATAAGACAGAGTAGAATTGCCCCATAGGGTGTCCAAGGTTGCAAATCTTTATAGAAGCAGATTGTTTTATCTTTGTCCTGCAGAGTGGCTGTTGGGTTGGAACCTCTGACCTTTTGGTTAGCAGCTGAATGCTTTAACCACTGCACTACCTAAGCTCCTAAAACAATATCTCTAGAATTGCAAAAGGTTCCCTAGGGGCAAAATTGCTCCTTGTTGAGAACCACTCTTAAATGATTCCCAAATCTTTATTTCAAGTCTTTGTTGGGCACTCGTCTCTGTTCTAGTCACCATTAAACCAAAACCAAACCAAACTCAGACATTAAATTGATACCAATTCATAGCGACCTGCTTTGGGTTTCCAGGGTGGCAAATCTTTATGGAAGTAGATAGCCCAGTCTTCCTTCATGGAGTGGCTGGTGGGTTTGAACCGCCAGCCTTCCAGTTAGCAGTCAAATGCTTTAGGCACTACACCACCAGAGTTCCTTAAGTCACTATTAAGTCAATATAAGTACAGCTAAATTCATTGTCTTCCTCCAAACTGGGTTGGCTCTACTTGTTTTCCTTCCTTCTTTCTTCCTTTTTCCCTCCCTTCCTTCATCCCTCCTTCCCTCTTCCTTCCTTCTCCTTTCTTACTTTCCTCCTGTCTTCATATCCTTCATACCTAAGAAATGACCAGCACTGATAAAGCTTCCCACCCCTTCATCTCTGACTTACTTTGCTCCTCCCTGGGTCCATGGCTATGGACCTAGCTAAGACCTTCCTCACAGTAATACTGCAGTACTCTTCTACCTAATCTCCCTAAGGCAGCTTATCCCTGTACTGTGATGCCAAATTCATATACTATGAGTTTTATTAGCTAATTTTTCAGCTATGATTGTTTGAGTGGCTCTCCACTGTTGTGTGATCAGTCTGCATAGCTTTACTCTCAAAACATCCCAGAGTTGAACCTCAGCCTGTTTCTGTGAGGCTTCTCTTCGAGACCTTCAACATGCTTTATTCTCTTTACTTTTAGGTTTCTAGATATCTCATGACTCTCATACTGAATGCCCTATCTTGTCATGGTTCACCCAAAGTCTTCAACTCTTAATTCAAAGTCCCTTCTCCTCTTCTGAGTTTTTTTTAAAAAATATATCAGTCATACTACTATTTTGGTAATTAATTCCACCCTGTGCCATTGTTTATATTATGGCCTACTATTGTTTATTTTATGTTGTTATTTATGTCTTCATGAGTTGTCTCTATCACTAGACTAAAGAGCATGGGGGGAAAAAAAATCCCAAAGCCCTTTAGTATCTTACAAAGCCAGACACACAGTGTTTTGATACACTATGCACATAACTGAATTTGAACAGTGAAACTGAGTGAAGAGCCAAAGGAGACAGCTTTGTTTTCTTTAATAAAACATCCCTTATGGTTATTATAAACCAAAAACCAAACCCACTACCATCAAGTCGATTCTGACTCATAACAACCCTATAGAACAGAGTCGAACTGCCCCATAGGGTTTCCAAAGCTTCAAATCTTTACAGAAGCAGACTGCCTCATTTTTCTCCTGTGAAGCGGATGGTGGGTTCAAACCACTGACATTTTGGTTAGCAGCCAAATGCTTTAGCACTATGACACCAAAAAAAAAAAAAAAAAACACACACACACACAAAGTCACAGCCATCGAGTTGATTCTGACTCATAGCAACCCTCCTTGGGTTTCTGAGCTGGTAAATCTTTACGGGGAAGTAGATTGCCTCATCTTCCTTCCACAAAGCGGCTGGCAGGTTTGAACAGCCAACCTTCTGGTTAGTAGCCAAATGCCTTATCCACTATGCCACCAGAGCTCCTTAACTATTATTACTCAACCATAATAATAATGAAACAACATGAAAAATTTTCAAGGTATTTGTAACATTTAATAGAGTCCCTTGATTCCAAGAAAGTGCAAAACTCTTGGAAAACATGTTTGGTCTAGTGACTCAGAAATTTATGACAACACAAGAAGCATTTTAACAATTCACAGGGGTGGTCTTCTCAATTTTATAAAAATTTGATCCAACACAATTTGAATGATAAGACTGTTGTGTTAAATAAGATAATGAATGTAAAAGCACCTAGTGTAGTACCAGACAAAACATAATTCCTTGATCAATGTTTTCTTTTTATTCCAATGAATGTGTGTAAGTGAGGTCTACAATATCGATAAAGCAAATTAAGAAACTCCCTTGTGACCTCTTTTCTCTGTGTTCTCAAGTTATTTTAAATAACTTATGGTTCTTTATGTGTTTGTTTCATATTCCCTATTCTACTGTCAGATATGTGGCATAAAAGATTATATCTTGTATTCCTTTCTATCCTAAAGAGGGCTTAACCATAGGTCTTGAGTAAACAATTGGCAATCTAAGTAGGTATCAGGTAAAGATGATAGTAATTCTCTTCAAACCTGTACTTCTTATATTTTATAAAATCTGAGGACTCCAGGCATAAAAATCCTCAACTACTTCATGTTGTAAAGACTGAATTACCCATTAAAGCTGAATGCAAATTCCAATCAAGACCTTTAGGCAGATGACACATCAATAAATCCATTCTACTAATGACAGGGGCTCTGAAGTCTATGGTGATGTTTACAACACATCAGGGAGAGATCTTTTAAGAATGCCACACACTCATTTTTCTGTATTTAAATAAGCTGAGTTCTGTCTGTGCCAAAAGTGATTATAATACGTCATGTTTTAAGATGAATTCCCAATTTCAGAGATGATAGTGTGAGAAAAGTATATTTTAGAATGGATGTAATATAATACATGTCCTAAACAAACAAACAAAAACAGACCTGTTGCTGTTGAGTTGATTCTGACTTATAGCAACCCTATAGGGCAGAGAACTGTCCCATAATGTTTCAAAGGCTGCAATCTTTTCTTTTTCAATTGTGATTTGGGTGAAAGGTTACAAAGCAAATTCACTTTCCATACAGTATAATATACTTTTGCATTATAAAATATGGAAATCGTATTATAAAAAAAGGAAATTTACAAAGAATGAGCTAAAGACAAAATGTTTTTATAATTAATTTTACTTTATTAGTTATAAAAATATCAATAATTCTTTAATGATAATAATGTGATTCAATATGCTATATTATTATATTGCTTTTAAACTCTGAGCTTAATACTTCATGATACAGTGATTCAAAAGTAAAGTTCTAAGTTTAGTGTTTCAATTCTTGGTTTTAATGGCTGACATAGGTGAAATACAAAGATATACAGAACATACATTGTTAGCTGTGTTATTAAACTTGGCACTTGTTTCTCATTCTCAACCTCCAAAAATGCAAAGGCTATTGTTGAAATATGACTAACAATTGTCCATCTTTAATGAGGTCAATTTTCTTGCAAATAAATTGAAAAATAGTGCATCTTTATATTTTTAAGGAAACGATCCAAGAATCAGTGGAATTCTTCATTTTGAGTATTTCAAATTATGTTAAAATTTATATTTTCAAGGTTTTAAATACAAAGATACAATATTTTTTATAGGTAACACTGGTTTTATAAAACTAATATTTGTAGTTTTTATAAATAAATTACCTGATGACTTCTAAGAATTCTTGTATTTTTGCCATCAACTTCTTTAACAATTTGCATGTGAACAATGCTATGAATATATTTTGTTTGCAGCACTACCTCTGTTACCTCTCTCCAGAATCTGTTTCAGTTACATCAATTATTTCAAGTTTCCCTATAAAGCATTCTTTTTATTAAAAAAGTAATTTACTGTTGAGAAAACATCTTCTCTGGTACATCTTTCACTTAATTGCTGTCCAAAAACAAAACAAAACCTCTATTCTTTTTTGCATTTGCTCTTTGTAACACAATGGAGCAAATACCTAAGCTGAGTTATGTTAGAAACATCTGAACTTTCATCCAACAGTATGGTAAATCCCCTCTACTGCATGATTTATTTCAATATTTGTTTCTGTAATCTTCAGTGTGTGCTACTAACAGTATTTACTGACAAAGTGATAAAGAACACATTTTAGTTTATCACCACAATGTTTTCCATTTATTATTTCCACTGTGGCAGAAAGGACAAATGTTCCCTTATGGCGATGGCTATTCCTCTTTCAGTAAAAGGTAGAATTCTCAAAAAAGGGACTCTAAATATTTATCATTGTTTAGACAAATTTTGTAAAGTACTCTAGTAAATGTAATTTTATTTAAGACATTGCTAAGACAAACTACAGAGGTTTATCTTCATGTTTTGGATATTTAGTTTTAAAATTTCTTGCCAATTCAAATTATCCGTTGCAAGTATCTTAAAGGTACAGTATTCACCTAGGAGAAGAGTCATCTTCAACAATTATGTGTAGGAAGCCATATTTCAAATGGTTCCCATACATTTTTTTTTTTTTTTTTTGGCCAAAGCGGATTAGACCACCATTGTTTTACCTCTTAATATGACTGGAGAAGAGCTCATACTAAGAAAGGAAGTAAATGTGAGTTTTTTTCACTTTGTCACTGTTCTTCCTAAAATGGTTCCCTTTTTTTTTTTTTTTTTTTTGGCCAAAGCGGATTAGACCACCATTGTTTTACCTCTTAATATGACTGGAGAAGAGCTCATACTAAGAAAGGAAGTAAATGTGAGTTTTTTTCACTTTGTCACTGTTCTTCCTAAAATGCCCAGTATTAGGTTTAACCTGCAATTGATTTACAAGAATATGTTAAAGTCAAGGAAAGTTTAAATTCAATTCAATATAAAGAAAGGTAATGGAGTAAAGTTGCCATGTTCTCCATACCCCAACATTGTGGAGCTCTCTTCTTCCCTTGAGGTTCCTCAGGTATTGCCCCCAACACAAAACTGACTCACTCACAGGCCAAGGGAAGGTTACAGTGACAATCTCCATATAAAATTTTGTTGTTCCTGTTGTTATATGCCGTGGAGTTGGCCCCGACTCATAGCGACCACCACATTCTTTTCTACGTTCAGATGGTCTGGCACCCTTTCGTGGCTATCTGTATATTATACTTCTACTCTGAGTGATACTTGGATAAAACTATTTAGTAAGGAAAACCACAACAACTGGCATCTAAAAAGTAAACAATTTTTGGAACTGCAGGCTCTATGAAATGCAATAGAGGAATTGCTGAATGCTTGCAGAAAGCAAAAGTGTTCATAAAAAGATGGATTTGATGGACACAAGTAAAATAGTGTTCCTCATATCATATGATATGTTAATTGTAGATCATGCCTCCTAAATTGCTCAAAATGTATGAAATGTCCAAAAGCTAGAAAGAAGGAGAAATGGCAAAAATTCTCAGACAAGGAAGAACTTAACTAATGAAAAGCTGACATTTTCTAATTTCAATTAAATGACTTTACTAGATTCAATGGCAGTTTAATAGGGCTTGGACAGAATTAAAGCATGACTATGAAAGGTCACAGATAGATAATTGATTTGAGTTTGTAATATAAGGTCGCTGGATAAAAGCCACATTATTTAGGATCTCCATGGAGAAGAATGAAAGAAAGCCTAGTCTCTTCAATTGACTTCAGTGGCTTCAGTCAGAGTATTTTATCATTGTAAAACTTACTTAAAGTTAGTGAAGACAAATATCTCCTTCAAAGATGAATATAAAAAGGAAAATTTTTATCTTAAAATTCCTAAAGAATATTCATGAATACAAATGCATAATATAAATTCAAAAGAGACTTGTAAAAAGTAGAAACATCTAGGTAGGAAGAAACCATTTAAGAAGAGAAGACTTAATAAAATAAATGAATAATGTGTGCAACTGATGTTCTTAAATGCTGCTCAAAATAGGAACAGTGCACTGAATTCAGAACCATAGGTACTGGGGAAAAAATACCTTGTCAGAAAAATAGATGTAGTTACTAAATGGGGTACTATTTTTTACCTAAAAGCTGCACATGTAGGTGTGTTAACAAGGGGGAAAAGAAGTAATAATTGGTGGTTGCAAGGGAAAAAGTTAAAGGAAAGAATAATTAAACTGAATATCAGAGCAATCTTCTCAAGAGTATGAATTTTAGATTACCCAATAGATTTAAAGGAAATTCGTCAAAATCATGTGACTACTCTGTGAATGCTAACATGAACACAGACTATCAAAGAGAATTCTGAACCACTGGTTAAAGATGACCACTTAAGTCACTTGCATTCCTAGTTTCCTTCATGTTATGGCTCACAGTAAAGAAAATGAAGGGTCCCAAATATATTTGGTGAAGGAAGATGAATATAGTTTCACATTCTTGTGTTTCTTTTCTTTTTTTTTTTTTTCCATTGCATATCCCAGAAAATTGCTTATTCAGGGAGTATTTTCTTAAAGAAAAACCATTAGATATACTTACCTTTGCTTGATTCTTTCCTTTTGGTTTCTTCTGGAATATAATTCCATTCATCTGGGATGCTCTTAAGCAAACATTCAGGAACACTATGCTTGTTTAGGTTCATCTCATGGTTTCTCCCAGAGCTCATCACAGATATTATCTGCTGCACAGTGTCTTTGATGGCATCTGTCAGTGCCAGTCTCAAGCACCGCATGACCTCTAGCTCGGACTCCATGCATGAGAAGGCTTTAAAATCAGAAGACATAAATTATGTTAGCAGTTGTGCCTTGCTCAATTAGGAATTCAGTTTCACAATTGTCTAGTTTAAAACTACAGGAACTTAAAGCTGCTTTTAATGTAGAAACCATATGATTGATAAACAACTCATAAAATTTGAAAAACAAAGTTTGTTTTTCTTGATCATCAAAGGAATGACAATTAAAATAACAGTAAAATAACAGTAAATAGCAGTATTTGCTGATAGTTTCAGACTCTGCTGGCAGGAATATAAGTTGTATGACTGTATTGGCAATAATATCAAAAAGTTTAAGATTTTACTTACCTATTGATCCACTTCTTCCTTTTCTAGGACTTTATCCCAAGGAATTAATTATAATTATGCAAAGGATATAAAGAAAACTGGGAACAATATAAATTCCTGACAATAGGCCATTTGTTTAATTACCTGACTCGAGGAAACATAACAACAACATATCTATACAATGACCAATAAAACCATATATTGCTTAATTACAAAAAGAGGTGATTAGAAAAGAGTATGACAGCATACTGTTTTTCATTAACAATTCATATCTGTACACACATATATTAAAGAACTAAAAGATGCAGTCTACAATTTAATAATGATTATCGATGACTGATGTGATTTCAGGTAATTTTTCTCTTCTTTTTCTTCCTCTTCTTTTACTTTCTCTTCCATATTTCTTCATTCCTTCCTGCCATCCTTCTGATTATATGTATTACCTACAATGAATATGTATTATTTAAGTGATAAATGAAATAAAAGGGTTTTTGTTTGCTTGCTTGCTTGCTTTTCAATATGATTGGAAAGTCCTGGGACCATCACTCCACTCAAAACAGTAAAAACACCTGTGTGCTTTTTTTCAGCTGAAATTTCCAGGATATATTTTCAAATGTCCTCACTATTAAAATGACCATGGTGAAGAATATCTTAGTAATGTCAAATATTGAGATTATATATATTTTTTAACATAGTACCATCATCAGAAAAACTACTGCTCTATTTAGAAATAGTGGATATGTAGCTGTCTGTCTCTTTAATAATATTTCAAGAGTTGAATTTATTGAAGGACATAAAGAAACCTTCTTCCCGTATAAATAATTAATATTGGCTTGGTTGAACTCTTTGGAGCTATAGATTAAATATATATGTCAGATATCTGAAAACTTTAGGAAGCCAGAAATTCCTCGATTTCCTATTGTTAAAACCAAAAACCAAAAACCAAAACAAACTCACTGGCATCAAGTCGATTCTGGTTCATAGCAACCCTACAGGACAGTGTAGATCTGCCCTATAGGGTTTTGAGGCTCCTTTGCCATAGGATTTCTTTACAGAAGCAGACTGTCTCATTTGCTCCCATGGAGTGGCTGGTGGGTTTGAACTACTGATTTTTTGGTTAGCAGCATAGTACTTTAACCATGGTGCCACCAAAGCTCCTTCTTATTGTTAAAGGGTGTGCTTATTCCTTATAAAATAATATTAAATATTGAAAATGTTAGAGAAAATAACAAACCTATCTCAAAAGATTATTTAAATATTAAATAAATTAAGTTAATTTATTTAAAGTGTCTGGGATAGCACCTGGCACACAATAAGCATAATGTAAGTATCATCTATTATTATTATTATTATCACCTATGATAGAAGTTTCACAGAAAAATTACAGTGTTATACATGGGTATATGGGTGGATAGATGGGTGGACAGGTTGAGCTATTAGGTATGTCTCTGAAGTGGGGCGTGTACCCAAGACCATATATAGGGTTGGCAGACAATGGTCCCATTAAGTGCATTTGTATGATTTGTTAGAATTCCCAGGTGTACAGTAGAGTTGACAAGGGACAAGGTTGTAGTCTCTTCTTGGTCAAAGCCAGCAACCCAGAGTGACTGAGTAGTTGAACTGGTGGGCTCAGGACCATAGTTGCAGGGGACATCAAGCTTAACTGGCATAACATACTATACAAAACATTGTTCTACCTCCTACTTTGGTGAGTAGCAACTGGGACCTTAAAGCTTGCAAGTAGCCATCTAAATGCAACGATGGGTCTCCCCTCATCTAGAGCAAAGAAGAATGAAGAAAACAAAAATTCATGGAAACAATTAGTCCTAGTGACTGGTACACCATGCGACCTGCAGCCTATACAACTATGAGACCAGAAGAACTAGATGGTACCCAACTATCACTGTCAACCACTCGGAGAGGGATCTATGTAGGAGATCCTGGATAGAGAGGGAGAACAATGTGGAACAAAACTCAAAATCATTTGGGGGGAAAAAAAAAAAGGGAGATGAGGTTTGCTGATTTGATAGAGCCTGGTGAAACCCCTGAGACTATAGCCCCTAGCTGCCCTTCAGGTCTGGAATTGCACCCACACCTGTGGCTTCCAGCCAAACAAAAGACTGGCATATGAGTAGAACATTTACCTGAGGTAGACATACTCCTTGGAGAGATCAATCATGGGAGAAAGAAGGGCTGTTTATGCACAGGGAGACAGTTCAGGGGGCAGGAGTACATGGAGGGATGGACACAAGGAAGAGGTAACTATTGGGAGGAAGTGGAAGGGGAGCTGTTGCATTGTGGGAAATAGTAGTCAATGTCATGAGACAAAGTATATGTGAACTGTTGTATGGAAAGGGAATTTGGTCTGCAAATTTTCACCCAAATCACAATAATAATAATAATTACAGTGTTACAGGGTAGGGCTAGCCAGTACTCATTTGATTCAGTGTTCTGAATCATCTTGAGCACCCAATACAATGTTGTTGTTGTTATGTGCCATCGAGTTGATTCCAACTCATAGCGACCCTATGTACACAGAATGAAACACTGTCCAGTCTTGCACCATCCTCACAATCCTTGCTATGGTTGAGCCCATCATTGCAATCACTGTGTCCATCTTGTCTAGGTCTTTTCCCTTTTCAGTGACCCTCCATTTTACCAAGGAAGATATCCTTCTCCAGGGACTGGTTCTTTCTGACCACATGACCAAGGTAGGGGAGATGAAGTCTGGCCATTCTTGTTTCTAAGGAGCATTCCGATACACTTCTTCCAGGATAGATGTGTTTGTTCTTCTGGCAGTCCATGGTATTTTCAGTATTCTTTTCCAATACCACAATTCAAAGGTATCAATTATTCTTCTGATTTCTTGACTGCTGCTTACATGAATGGAAATTCCTGACAACATCAATCTTTTCTCCATTTATGATGATGTTGGTTATTGGTCCAATTGTGAGGATTTTTGTTTTCTTTATGGTAAGTGTAATCCATACTGAAAACTGTAGTCTTTGATCTGTATCAGTAAACACTTTTTCAACAAACAAGTTTGTGTCATCTGCATATGGCAGGTTGTTAATGAGTCTTCCTCCAATCTTGATGCCCTATATAGGCTAGCTTCTCAAATTAATTTCTAACTGGACAGATTGAATAAGTGTGGTAAAAGGATACAGCCCTGATACACTCCTTTGCTGATTTTAAATCATGCAGTATTGGCTTTGTTCTGTTTGAACAACAGCCTCTTGGCCTACGTACAGGTTCTTCATGAGCACAATTAAGTGTTCTGAAATTCCCATTCTTCACAATGGTATCCATACTTTATTATGATGCACACAGTTGAATACCCTTGCATGGTCAATACAACACAGTTAAACATCTTTCTGGTATTCTTTGCTTTCAGCTAAGATCCATCTGACATCAGCAATGATATCCCTCATTCCATATCCTCTTTTGAATCCATCTTGCATTTCTAGAAGTTCCCTGTCAATATACTGCTGCAACTGTTTTTGAATTATCTTCAGCAAGATTATACTTACATATGATATTAATGATATTGTTTGATAATTTCCACATTCTGTAGGATCACCTTTCTTTGGAATGGGCACAAATATGGATCTCTTCCAATTGGTTGGCCAGGTAGCTGTCTTCTAAATTTCCTGGCATAGATGAATAAGCACCTCCAGAGCTGCATACGTTTACTGAAACATCTCAATGAATATGTCATCAATTCCTGAAGCCTTATTTTTTGCCAATTCTTTCAGTGCATCTCGGATTTCTTCCTTGAATGCCATTGGTCCTTAATCATATGCTACTTCCTGAAATGACTATATGTAAACTAATTCTTTTTGATACAGTTACGCTCATCTGTCAGTTTGTCATACTATGGTGGCTTGCATGTTGCCGTGAGGCTGGAGGTAATGACACCAGTATTTTGAATACCAGCAGGGTCACCCATGGTGGACAGATTTCAGCAGAGGTTCCAGACTAAGATAGATTGGGAAGAAGCATGAGGCCATCCACTTCTGAAAGAACTGGCCACTAAAAACCTTATGAATAGCAGTGAAACACTATCTGAAATAGTACAGGAAAATTTTATAAACAGCAGTGAAACACTGTTTGATATAGTGCCAGAAGATAAGCCCCTCGGGTGGCTAGGTACTCAAATATGGGTGGAGAAGAGCTGCCTCCTCAAAATGAGTCAGATTTACTGATGCAGATGGAGTAAGCCTTTTGGGATCTTCATTTGCTGATGGAGCATGATTCAAATTGGGAAGAAATGGCTGCAAACATTCATTAATCATAACGTGGAATGTACAAAGTATGAATACAGGAAAATTGGAAGTTGTGGAAAATGAAATGAAATGAATAAAGATTGCTATCTAGGCATTAGTGAGTTGAAATGGACTGTCTTGGCCATTTTGTATCAGATAATCATATGGTCTACCATGCTGAAAATGACAAACCGAAGAGGAAGGCACCACATTTATTGTCAGAAAGAACTTTTCAAGATAATATATCCTGAAGTGCAATGCTGTCAATGATAGGATAATATCCATATGCCTGCAGGAAGACCAGTTAATATGACTATTATTCAAATTTACACACCAACCACCAAAGTAAATGATGAAGAAATTGAAGATTTTTACCAACTTCTGTAGTGTAAAATTGACCAAACATGCTATCGAGATGTATTGATTATTGCCAGTGATTG